CTTTCCCTATGGCCTCTGTCCTCAGAAGGTGTTTGAAAAATTAATCTCAGCATTTTAAACCCTCCAAGATTTATATCTACCGGATTTTATTCTAGTGCTTCTTGAGAAATAAAATGTTGAGAATAACCATCCTATCTCAGGAAAATTGTGCTATCACTGCATTTATTTAACATTTCTAGACTCTGGACTAAATGGATTCTAAGAAAACTGAAATATAAACTCCACTTTCAGGAGTGCTCCAGAGGATTCCCTGGGTAGTTCAGATCCATGTCTTCTTAGTACACTGTCCTATTAATGCTAGCCTTTATAGCTAAAATGCAAACCAGATTAATTTTATTTTAATCATATTTTAAACTTCATACAGTTTTGGAGTATTTGGAAGGCATTTTTCACAACAGATCTGTTATGTCACTACTGCATTTTTTAAATTGCAACAAAAATCATTACACAATGGATACAAATAATTTAAAAATATGACTGAACTGACACTTAAAATACATGCCACTTTATTCCCCACCAAAATGTTTCTGGTTCTTTTGCTCATGGAAACTGAGACTTTCTTTACCTTTATTTTAAGGAGGATAAAAGAATATCTTCATACAAAGTGTGGAACTATATATTCCCCTCCCCTGGGTAAACAGCATGAAAGGTTTTCTTTCTCAGACTGGGTGCATACTGATCCATTCATCTAAGCAGCTCCTATACTATACTTGAATGTAAATCACTCTCAAAATGCCACGGCCAATTTCTCAGTTGCCTATCTTCATAGTATGCATGTGCATTATGTATTATACGGTTAACAGTGCATCAGCTCCTTTGTGGGAAATCAAGAAAGCTTCCACATCCTCCTGAAAGAAAATGTGGAATTATTTTATACATGTCCAGCTAGGTCAGGCTGCAGAACGTTCTCAGGAGAAACTGGAGCTGAATTAAAGCAGCACTGTGCTGTACGGTGATGTGGTGGGTACAGAGGAACTTGAGGCAGCTCAAGTGCAGGAGCCAGTCTGGCTCTACCAGCATGGTGCTCTCTGTAGACTAATTAGTCCTGCTAAGAAGCAGGGTATAATTGCCCAAGCTAAATGCTTTGAGGTACTTTACAAGTGAGATGCTGCATATCTTCGTGGCGCTGTGCTCCTTCCTTTCCCTTGGGCTGTGCTGAGCCCTGTTGAGGAGGCCTTCTGTCTGTAACCAGGGACCTCTAACTGGAAAGTGTAAAGGAATCTATTTTATCAAGCTCCTGCAGAGAAGCTCAGTGGTTTGCCAGGCAGCAAGACAGGGCAATTCTAGGAAAAAAGCCCAGAAAAGCCTGAGAGCTTGTTTCTGTTGTTCCAGTGCTATCTCAAGGCACAGGAGTAGGAGCTGAACGCAGTGTCTGCATTGCTGCCCATGCAAATGTGAGGTCTGGGACCATGGGGATGCTTATGCCAGCTTTTAGCTCACTGAGGAAATCCATACGTTGCTTTCTGGGGATTAGGCATCAGCCCTGAAGTGGGAGAAAATACTGGAAGGAACCAGCAGTTCTGGGGGGCATTAAATCAGCTGGAATGCAAAATTACAGAGAGAACTGCTAGCATTTTAGCCTACAAGACACACATAAAGTAAAGATGGTGAAGATGAAACTTAAAGAAGTATTTTGCCCAGTGCTGTACAAAGACAAATGAGAATGAAGGTGAAGAATAAGAATACCAAAGCTTACACCATGTTGCATTGTCCTCCAGATAGTCCTCTGGGAAGCAAGAGGGAAACAGATTCAGGGAACAGAAAAACAAAACAAAACAAAACAAAATAAACCACAGGTTATACCAAACAGGCAACCGCAGAGAAGATAATGAGTCTTTATAAGCAGTTGATTTTAAATGAGAAATTTTAGATCATGCTCTATGGAAGCAGTTGAGCTCAGTTGTTAAAGTATTTAATCTCTGATCTTACTGAACTTCAGGTGTAACTGCCAGATGTCTAGACTAATGTTGTCACTTTTTGGCACTTTGTACTAGAGGAATAGGGAATGATTTCTCTGTACTTTTAAAACTTGTACCTTAGGATACAAGTTTTAATAGAAAGTATAATAGAAATATTTTATCTTGATTCAGTCGCCTATACCTATGTTTAGGCAAAGACTTTATTTATCCCTGTTAATAGTGAAAACTGAAGTCATCTAGACTTCAAATCTAGATGGCTGGTTATAGACATCTATGCTTTGGATCTCTGTATTGAATCAGATAAGGCCTCATGTTTGTTTTTGTTACTGTTAGTAGAGAAATAGGGTGGAATCCAGTTACCTAAATATAGGTATAGCAAGTAAATTTAGTAGCTCTGAAGTATTTCATCTTACTTCCAGCCAGGTCTTCTCTAACTTTGCTATCTTGAAGGCCTTAGGCATATCAAACAGCATTAGGTGACTAAGTTTTTGTAGCTGAATTCCACCAGAGACCTGCAGGGATCTGCAGAGAACAGCTGGGGCTCAGTTCTGTTCTCCCACTTGGATGCAATATGGTAGGCATCCTCTAGGGTGTTCTACCTGGCCTTCAACTGCCAGTCCAGGAGCGATTGAGCATCCCGAATTGTTGTCCTAACTGCCAGCTCAACTGGATGTCTCAGTGTTGATATCTACGTGTGGATGTCTCAGTTGAGCCATTCATTTCCCAATCTGTGAGAGGTGTCTGTGGCAGATGGGGTGAATCACTCTCCAAAGATGTGTGTCTCTCTCCATTGACTTCAGAAGGAGCCTGACTTTTAGGTCCTGTGCTGTGAAGATGTGATTGAATTGCCTGAGAGGCTGCAGTATACTCTACCTAGCTCCTCACTGCTGCTCCAGAAGTATATTGGTCCTCTCTAGTCCTGTGCCATATCTGCTGGTCCCACGTTTCAGATACTCAGGGATGTCTTAGATGGTGCTTTACATCCATGCTTAGACAACTCTCTCAGGTTCGACATAACTTCCTAAATATATCTGATGTATTTTAAACCAGTTGGACCACTGCTTTGGGGTTGGTTTTTTTTTTTGTTTGTTTGTTTTTATGTTTCTTACAGTAATGTTGATCTATTTCTTATTTATTAATCCCTACCAGCTACAGATATGTCAATGACACAGGGCAACTGCTTTCCCTTCTTTATGGAAGGCAAAAGATGGAATAAGTGGGTTAATCACACAAGTTCAGGCAAGGATGAAGGAGCACTTTCTCCCCAGATGAGTTCTGTACCCAGTGATTACATTGCAGGCTTCTTATGAGGGCTGCTTAGTCTAATATACCTGACGGAATAAGCTCAACTGAATTAAGCTTATAAATGGGGGTATGAGCAGGAGTAACAGAAAACATTGTTCAGATTTGCTATATGTTTAGGATAGAGATGCAAGGGAAATATTTTCTAAACTTGGTCTCTTCTGACAACATGCTGTCAAAGAGAGATGAAAGCAGAATTGCTTGTCACTTCTTTGGAGGTTTACATAGCTGCATGTTTGGACTTTGTGATGACAGTTTAAAGTTAAATGGTTTGACAGTGTTTTATGAACATAAACTCCAGAATAGACTTCTAAAAACATTAATGTAACACTGAACAGTCAGCTGACTCACAAGGAAAGATTTGTTTCTTTTATCTCTAATAATCAAAAGAGGCTTTAACTGTTAGATACTACTTTCAAAGTACTAATACTTCTGTATGTTTGCATGGTGTAAGCAACAGAAAATGATCTGGATGCAGTCTGAAAAACAGCTGTGAGTGGGATTCTTCTTATGTCCTGTTAGCAATACAAGGGTTAGGAGTATCTAAATGAAACTGGTCCACCAGGCTCTGTCTTATAGTTAATGAAGAGAGATACGTGTTTCAGGGAATGATTCAACACATTAAACTCTGAAGATCTAATGTAGGCAAGTTGAATGGTATCCCTGTGAGGCAGGAGTGCAGTGTTTATATTTTTCTGGATAAAATTAGCTAAATTGGTGTGAGATGCAGGCAAGTGACCTTTCCCAAGTGCTGCTAAGGGATTACAGCTCTAAAACAAAGCCTTCTGCACTAATCCACATAAACAGCCTTTTCTCGCTCCAGCTGACGTCAGTGGCCATCTCTAACTTGAGAGATTGTTGGTCTCAGCCCAAAAGGAGATAGCACATGCACCACTGCCATTTGGAGATGGATGTGATACAAACACTGATCACTAACAGACCATAAATAGTTATTGTTTTAAATATCACCAGCAAGAAAAACAGGTAAGTGTTTGGCTTAAACACTCTGTAAAGTAACAGCAATAGTAAACTCTTAGTTTGTTCTTTGAGTTGACTTCTTTTTATAATTATTTATTTTTTATATTTCTGGAATAATACACAAACAAACCTAGTCAAATCATATGGAGATAAGTTCCCCTTTGAAAGTCTACAAGTTATTAGGAGTTATAAAGAATTATCTGCATTGTCAGTTTTCATCAGTTATAGTCTTTAAGGGCTGGCAGCATATGACATACCTCTGCTTTATTCAGGATGCTGCTCAGTATTTTGGAATCTTGTGGTTTAAAAAGGTTATTAATATGTTTAAAAATATTTTAATGTCAGCATGGAATGTCTCTTAAACTTGTCTTTTTCATTGCAAAAATGCTTGAACTGTTCTTATAACATGAGAGAGGTTCAAGCTGAACTATGCTACTAACCTTCCTTTTCATGCTCTTCCTGCCACTTCTGTTTGTAACCTTTAGTTTCAATGGAGCATGATTAAAACCTACAGGCTTTGTTGACCTTTCACTTCACCTTGGCCCACTCTAGATTAAGATCCAGGCCTGTGCACTGAGCAATACACAAGGGGTGGTTCTTGGACTCTGAAGTGAAAGGGTAAAATTAAGATCCTGTCAAATATGGATTGAATAGTGCCGGTCAGATTTTTAGCCTGCAGTGCTACGCAGCATTATGAACCTGCTATGGTAGAAAGACCTGAGTCTACAACAGAGGTAAACATCTGTTCTGCTTCTCCTTTTAGGATAACCTGGCTACACTATTTCCAATAGAGCAGAGAACTAACAAGTATTGCTTTTTAGGGTAATCCCAAGTCTCGACTAGAAATGCCATGTTATTTTCCAGTTGAATTGATATGAAGATTGACAGAATGTAGTTGATAGATAGAATACAGTGTAGATAGAGGTGACTAGAAAGACTTGGCACTATAGTAGAGTGCCATGATCAACAAAGGTATTTGCTGAATGATGGTGTCAGGAAGATACCAAGGTCCTTATCTGAGTTAATGTACTTGGCTTCTTGCTCAGTGATTTAAGGTGCATATTGAAGACATCTCTCGATGTTTTAGGCTTGTGATCAGAACCATAGCAAGATATTTTGGTGCCCTAGTGCAGCCAGCACGTTCCTGGCACCCAGCAGGAGCGCAGCCCACCCAAACTTCAAACCTGGGTGCTCCTCTTCCCTCACTCTTGCTACAGCCCTGAGTATGACTTTCTTTGGCAAGACAAACCAGTGCTGTGCAAGTGTCCAGCAATAAGGTCAGTAAGTAGAGGGTATGTGGTACGGTCTGTTTTGATTCAGGTGCTTTACGGCTCTTTAATTCTGTTCATTGGCTTTACTTCGAGGTGATTGCTGAGAAAGTATTAACAGCTATAATATTACACCCACTGTAAATCCATAGATGTATAAATATCAGGAAGTCTGAAATGAGAATCCAATGGCTGGTAGTGAAGAAACCAATCTTACTTAAAGCCTTATTTTCAAAACAATTGAATAAATAAAGCAAGATTAATGATCACTGAAGTCAATTTTTGAGACAGATGTAAATAAAGCAGTGGTAATTTTATAATTAAGTAAAGGAGTGGAACAAATCAATGTGCCTTTGCAAGTTTCTATGTTAAATAAGTCACTGCTAAAATTGCTCTAATACATAAAATAATTTTTAATAAAATTAAAAAATAGAAAATATCGCTCTAGATCACTTTTCAAAGAAAGTTATAATGCAAAGTACCTGCCATGGCTCATCTGTTTTTTGGCCTCCAAGAAAGAGCTTATTCTCTTCTAACATTTCTAATACATAAAAAGTGAGTCATATTGTTCTCCTACAATGCAACTCTGTACCATTTCCAATGGAGAAAAAAAGATTTACTGAATGCTGAACCAGCTGGCATAGAAACTATATAGTGATTATGAAATTATATTAAAAAATTGCCAGGAGATTACCACTCCTACTATGTTATCAAGCCATGTTTACTAATTCAGAAATGGAATATATTATGCCTTACCAGCCTATCCAAACTTGTGCCAGCAGCAGTTGTAGGTCTCTCCTCTGGGTTATACGGTCTAAACCGGGTGTTGAAATTTTCAGGGACAGAGCGAGAAGATCTCAGGGCAGGTGCTGGTTTAGGTTGGCCACATCCTTGGAAAACCTGAAAAAGACATTGCAGGTTATAACCTGGTCACAGCCTTGATAGCTGGTATTTTATAGCCTCTTTATTCTCTCTTTCATATATTTGAAACCAGCTTTGATTGACAATTTGATAATAATGAATTGAGCACTTGCCCTGCATTAAAATTCAGGTTAATAATTAAGCATTATTAATTACTCAATAAAGGTATAAAAACATATAAGGACCTTAAAACCCTCTTAAATTAAGAAGGTGATTATAAGAAACCAACATTTGAAAGTGCTATAATTGCTGTCTTTCCAGGAAGAAAAATGACAGGAGAATTGGAACCAGGTGATCTCTAAGGTCCCTTTTACCCCAAGCTATTTTATGATGATTCTATGAAAAGGAAGTCCTTTGTGGCTGGACTTAGTTGCTAATTGTTTTTGTTGGTTTTTTTAAAAAAATGTGGTATTTACCCAGAATCACATCTCATTCCTAATCCCTATGCACAGCTGTTCCTACCTTGTAGTGTTGTTTGTATTCTCAGAGAAAAGGTCAATGATGAAGTAGTCTTATAATGGGTAATTTTCTTATTCCCTACTAATTTGTCCCTAGAAGAGGGGTGAGGCATATTGAGTGGGCAACAGTGAGAATTATTTTCTGCTGGTGTACTTGTTTTCTAGGTATAAAAAGATGTTCCAGGTTATGAATTTTTTCATATACCTCCATTTGGAAAAAAGTTGCAGTGGTGTATCTCTGGTGGACACTAAAGGACATAGAGGACATATTTGACTACTGGATGTCAAGTATATATCCCAGGGGAACTCTCACACAAGTTGCTCAGCTGAAAGGACGTAGAATATTCATAGTGTTAAATTTTTCAAGTGCTCTCATGGAATAGGCTCCTAGTGTTTGCCTTCATATCAGCTTTTTCAGTTTTGGAGTAATCTTTCCCTTTTGTGAACATTGTATTTTGGCTGTTTCAACATTTTGCCTCCCGTCAGAATTTCTCATAAGGCGAATTTTACAAAACCCTAATGCCAGACACAAACTGTCTGTCTGAACGAGTGGAGATGAAAACTCCTATGCAGGTGCTATGTTTTGTTTGTAGGACCAGATCACTCCTTTTTGTGTGGCAAGTAAGATATCAAGCTCACAATTTATGTTGTGAGCCAGTGATCAAGAAGGCTCATGTTTCACTTTTAGACTTCTAGGTTTTCAGCCTTTAGTAGTTCTCTCCTGAAGCAGCCATGGATGGTGTGACTTCTGCTGCTTTCAGGATACATTATAATTGGCTTTTAATTAGGTTTCCTGATGTTAATTTAGAGGCCCCATGTGATTAAAAATTTGCTGAAGGAAATGGATTAATACTAAATTTATGTCCAATCATCAGGTCTGTTTTGGCTTAAAGTCAAGCAAGTCAGCTGTTGTATGGCCACTGGGATTTTTAATTTATGAGTGGAATACTGCTTGGTCTGGTTTGAGAATATGTGTAAGATTTTTTTTTAGAGTTTCTAGCCTCTCTATCCATGCGGACTATTGGACAATAAATTAATTTAATCAACCAGGAAAGATGACTTAAAGCTTGTAAAGTTCTAAATTTTTCAGCA